CTTTTCTACATCTGTTTATATAGATATTATTTGCAAATAAGAAAACCGCAGTATTATTACATTAAATTGTCAGATTTCATGTTGAAGAGATTTAGATAGAAACTGCGCTCGTTTTGATTGACATATTTTATATTTATTTCTATTGGTGAGGCGAACAGGTGTTTTAAGTTTGAGGAATTCACACTTTTCAAACACAATGTTTCTCTTGAACAATTTCTTGAATTATAATAATTGATATAAGATTCAATCAAATCGCATTTCATATTTTTTTTATAGTGTACGAGTACTTCTTCGAATCTGAAAAAGCAATCCTAAAGGTTTTCAAGTTTTAAAATTTTAAGTCATTTCTGAACTCAATTACTATTGTCAAATATTCTTTCTTAAGATCAAAGATTTTTTTTATGAATTAGCAGATATAAATATATCTGAAAATATATATTTTAAATGTTGAAAAAAATTATTTTTCATAAGAATTATTACTAAATTCATGTCCTACATTTTGATTCACAGAACAAACATTCCATCAATTTTACATCTCTAACAGCAATCTTCAACAATAATTATGTGATTAAGAGATTAAGTACTTCATCTTTTTCCTCATAAAGATTTTAAATATATGATGTCATTTATAGCATTTGATCTAATTATAAATCCTATCTCAAAAGTAACGGATTTTATTTGCAAACATTTCTATACGTCGAATTTCAAATTATATTCATAACGGTTTATATTTATAACGTTTGTCGCAAATACCAGAACTTCTTAATTTCCATACAGGAATGACAAGATGATGATATTGTTCCATTTGTCATTGATCATTTTATTTTTATGCATTTATCTTCGGAAAGAAAGTTAATTAATGAAGAAACTGGCGCTTGGGGATAAAAATTGTGAACGGAATTGATTTATGGGCAATATTTTTTTGTTTTTGATATACATTCATTTAACATAACACTCTATATTATTGAAATATGTATCAGTTGAAATGATACATATATCATATCATACATATGAAATCTATAATTTTTCTGTTTTGATAAACAAAAGATTTTGGCAACAGATAGATTTTGCATAGCCCAGAGCTGTTTTTAGTTCATGGTAATGAAACAAATTCATTTACTATTTTCCGGTGTAAGTATTTTTATATTCGAAAGTTTTAATAAGTAGTCTAATTACGGATTAACATTTCCACTCGCCTTGTTGACTTTCATTTCAATCAATATCTACATTTTTGTTATTATCTTAAATTAACAAATAACCATCAAAGTTTTCTATATTATCTACAACTCTCAATTAAATTGTAGTCGTTCCAAATTAAACTAAATCTAATATAAATTAAACTTTCAATGAACCTACTTAATTTTTCAATCCGTCTTGCGTATTTCTGCTTACCTCATTGCTGGATAATTACTGAGTAATCTGATTTAATTTTCTCGAATGATTTAATTCGTACGCTGATGATGATGTTAATTTAAATTGATAAAAAAGAGAAGTAAAAAGATATTTATCATTATGGCTGGTTACAATTGCTTTGTAATCTTATAGTGATGAGATGATCTGCTTTTTTATTTCTTTCTGGGCGCCGACCCATTTCATCGCTTGATAATGATTCTCAAACCTATATGAAAAAACAGAAAAATTCGGAAAACATAGAAAAGGGAAAAGAAAGGAAGTCGGAAAATTTGGTAAATTGCTAAAAAAATTAAATTTGATTCTTTGTTTTGAAAATTTCAAAAAAAAAAAAAAAATTCTTTTCGTAAATATTTTTAATCTATAGTTTAACAAATACCTAGACATAAATTGTTCGGGAACTTAATTCTTAATTTTAGCAAAAAATTCAAGGTTTATGTATGTAAATCTCACTATTTGCTTGCGAATTAAATATTAATATTTGACATCAAAAAGGTTATTAATTAATTATTGGTGCTAATTCATTCAAATCACTAAATGTAACTCTAAAATTTCAAAAACATTTTTCGACGATATTTATAATTTGACAAATTGTTAATTATTATGATATAATTTTATGTACTTAAGTTGGAGTATATTGTGGAAATTTTTGTGCACAAATAGATTTTGTCGTAATTTATAGAACTGTTTTAAAATCGTATAATTTATAAAAGTTGACATATCATGTCAATGTATTGTTTTTATGATTTTGTTGATTTCATGAAGGCTGACTCAAATTGCTACATTACTCCCCTTTCAGTGCCCGAGACAGACTCATTATAGAAGTATTTTTGTGCTTCTCGATATCAATCACGTTACACCGTACTATGACGAACTCCGATAATTTTTTTTTTAAATTAATAATATATCAAAAAATTTCTACTCATAATTGTTGTATGTAACTATCCATAACTATTTTGACAATTAATTTACAATAAATATACATACTTTTTGTCTTATCTGTTCATGATGTGATGATTTATCTGTTAATGATAAGAGATGTCTTTTAAGCAGATCTTGGTTTGGAAACCATTGATTTACCAGGAAGTCCAGCAAAGTGACGACTATCCAACATAAACCATACTGTACCTACGATTTACCATGTACCGTGAGCCGATACCGGTGCGTTCGACTTTCTTCACAAACCGACGGAGCGAAATTTTAATGAGATAGCTGGTAAAAGATTTACTTTTTATCAAGAACTAAAAGATTTATAAAGTAGTACTTAGCAACTAAAGGTAAGTTATAACTTTATTATATTTATAATGGACAAGGATAATCCTGGACAAATATTGCTTCTAGAACATCCCAGGACACATGGTGGTAATCCGGAACATACAGTAGAAATCCAGGACATACAGTAGAAATCCGGGACAAACAGTAGAAATCCGTGACTTCTCCGGTCAAACCGGGACGTATGGTCATCTGAGAATAGATCAATATCTTACAGGAATAAGTACGAATTATATTTAGGAAAATAAATTTAGCTAAATTAATTGCTTATATTCAAACTAATTAGACTAGGGTAGTGTAAATGCAATATAATCTTCAAAGAATACTCAAAGTGATTTATAGATTTGTATGTAGATAATAAATATTATATAAAAATGAAACCGTCGATATTTGAACACATCAATAATTCGGTATGCAAACAAGTATGTATATTGTATGTCAATTTTCATTCAGAAGAAATATTTCTTTTTTTCTACCAGCTCTCCCATTATCGCGGGATCAGCGTCGCCACGACTTCTGCCCATCGGGTTCGTGCGCTCTGCTCATGTAGGTACAAGACCATAACGGAAATCTTAAACTGTTGAAGAAATGACCGGTTTTAGAGAGCTCCATTGTTTTTATAAGGTAAGGTAATTAACAATCATTATTTTCAATGAAGATTTTTTATGTGTCCTGGAAGCGCCGTTGCCAGTAGAGTTTTAGTTAATTGTCAATCACTGACAATATGGTGAGAAATATATGCTAAATCATGTACAAAAATTACTAGCAAAAATCATACAGACGTTAATAATAATGATTATTTATATATATATATATATATATATATATATGTGTGTGTGTGTGTGCGTGCATGTGTATGTATGCATATGAGTAAAATGTCCTATATGTTAAAAAACTGTTTTCTGGCATCCATCTAGCTATTAAATGAAAAACAATGCAATCTCTATTTGGCTCTACTTAAGTGCAATACAAATATTCCACATATCTTAACAAATACCAATAAACATCTATTTTGTACAACTAAAATATAAAAACAATTTTTATCATATTAGAGTAATTTTATTAGAAATTAAATATAATAATAAGATTATATTAGATAATTCGGTTAGATCCTTATACTGGCTATTCGTGCATAACTTCAAGCTATCCCTAAATAATAAAGTTCTGATGTACATAGTCTCCATAAACCCGTTGGACCTATGGGGTTGAGCTTTGGGGAGGAATCAGTAAATCACGTATCAAGTCCTTACAAGAAAACAGTCAAACATTTTTGAACTCATCTGCTTCTGGTATGGGTCAATCTTATATATTTATCTCTCTATTATCTATATCTATTATTACTTATTATTTATTTATCTATATCTCCTGAAAAATATTGAAAAAGTAAAGAGTAAATATAGTAAATAAGAAGTACAACATATTTTGGCCGGTTTTATAAACATGTAAATACTACCGTTGCTGTCGAATCCTCAAGAAGAAGTAACTAGTAGATCTTCTTTAAGGAAGTAGTGATCCTCAATTGAGGGTTATTTACCAAGTCCATTTTTTATACTCAAGTAACGGACAACATGTTATGATTAATTAGACAATTAGACGTAAATAATATATATAGTTATGAATTCAAATTTTGATTTAATTAAATTTTAAAAATGTTCTCAAACCTAACTTGTTCTTCCTATTATCAATTAGATAGATGCCTATAAAATCTTTTCCGTATATATAAATTATATATGCATGAATGTCAATAACAAAAAATCCAAATTACAAATATATTTTAATTGCATAATTTTTAAATAATATCTGATTTGATGGAATAATTCAAACTTTATGACGATTTCGGTTATTCCAAAACACTAATATATTAATTCTGTAACGAAATAATATAGTGAAAAAAAATTAATGAATATATATTTCCTAAAAAAAATTAACTTCATCATCTTACAATTACTTGAGCAGAAACTAATTGATAATAGGAAGAACATCTAATTGACCATTAAAAAGTTTGGAGATGTATGCCTTACGGGATGCGCCTGTGTGTGGGTCATGGTCGTTCGCCGTGAAATTTCAAGTCCAAGAGCAAACGCACGAGTGCGAAGAAAGATTGAGATGGCCAGCACGATGGAGCATATCGACGGGCGGCTCGAATCTCTCCCGACGGCGGCAGCGTTCCGCGGCTCGCATTTCATTCCCGTCGTCCGACAGGCGAAGATCTCATTAATATATAAAGCGTCTAAACGACCATGATCCAACACGCGAAAGTGTGCTTAGTTGTCAGAAGATAACTTCTTCCGCCTTCTTCCCGATCCGGGGTCAGTGCTATGTGGTAATAAGTGTTACAAATTCCTCCAGTGACAATGGCGAGGTTCCAAAATATGTGTTATTTATTGTTTCTTTTGTGGACCATTATTTCTTTTAGTGTTTGTGTGTTAGCTGATGATTTGGACAACTTTAGTTTTAACAATGGACGTTTAATTAATGATTTCTTCTACGAAAATCAAGATTTGAGCGCGCTGCAAGTTGATGATTGGGAGGATGAGGAAAGCACGGTGGAGGATAAACAAGCTCATGTGCGGACAGCGCTTTTGAACGCTTTGAAAGACGGGAAGCAACTCAGGAGATTTGCGGAAGTTTTGCCAATTATTCGAGTAATGAGTTCGCCGCAAAGGATAGCGCTCGCAGCTTTGGTCTCGGCGCAGATTGCCCACGAGAAGGAAGGAACTGAAGGAAATGGTCTGAGTTTGCCACAGGTAATTTAACAAGTTATTATTCATCAATTAATCATAATGACCCATATAAAGCGTGCAAATATCTTCGCGTGTAGTGAAAAATACAAACAGCATTTCGATGGTCACTGACTTCTAAAGGAGATGTGATCACCTACTTTTTATAAATATCTGAGAAAATAGTAACAGAGTTTCACAGGTGCATTGTTTGGATACACAAACACAAACAATACATACATATTTTTTTGTAAATTAGTTTAATTCAACTTTCATTTGATATTTGAATATCTATTTTCAAAAATGGAGAGTAAAATATTTTTACCATTTATGGGCCCTGGTAACTTTCCAGTCTTATTCCGATTTTTTCAATATTATACCAAATGATTATTAACTTCCCGTAGGGTAAGTTATTGTAATCGTCCAAAAATCGAAATCGAAAATTTTTGCATTTCTCGACGTTTTGAAGGTTTCTGAACATTTTGGCATACCTCAGAAAAAATGGATGTGTGTGTGTGTATGTATGGATACAAATTTCCAGTCACGTTTTCGGGCGCACGGATCAACCGATTTGAATGGTTCTAAAAACATTCGATTCCTATTGATAAGGAGATGAGCTCATTTGTTTTTGGCAAAGGAAGGTCCAGCCATTATGGAGATAAAGAGCAAAGACTGCAGAAAATAGAAATCGAGTTTTTGAGAGAACGGAGCATCCGATTTGAATGATCTAAAAAACATTCAATTAGTAATGATTGGGAGAATTGTTTATTAGATTTTGGCAAAGGCAGGCCCAGCCATTTCGAAGATTCGAAGCTAAATGTGTAAAAAAAGGCAGTTTTTGAGAGAACTAAGCGTCCGATTTAAATGATTCAAAGAACTTTCTGCTTGTCTTAACAAAATAATTGATTTTGGAAAAAAAATCTTTTGTTTCAACTTTTTTTTTCAAGAATTTTCTTTTTTGTGTATCGAAAATAATTCAGATTTTATTTTTAATTCTGACTAATATACTTTAAACAAATAATTTCAACTTTGCAATTCAGTTTATATAATTCTTATGAATATTAGACAATGTTACAATATTAATAATAATCTATTTGAAAACATTCAGTATTCCTCAAAAATTTCGTTACGGTACGGGAAGTTCCAGCAATTTGCCTTAAGGCACGATGCCATATACCCCACTAGTTAATTCTATTTCTTCAACATCAAAATCTAGCTAACAAGCGTGTAAAATTTTCTTTCTCTAAAGCTATAAATTTTATATCTATCATTCTATAATATAATCACCAAAAACAACGTGCTAATTTCTTAACACTCTAAGCAAATTTCTATCTAGCCTACATAAAAATACATGCGCATAAATTTGTTATTGCTCACTTAATTAAGACGCCTTGTCTCTGGGTCTAGATCAAATGTGATAGTGATATATGTCAAATAAAAAATTAGCATTTTATAAATGGCACTCAAAAAATTACTAGATAACTTTCTATTGAGATCTTTATCGTTTTAAGACGCTAATCAAGTGTTTGTAGTTTAAATTAGATGTTCTCTAGCATAATTGGCATAGAAATGCAGGTTTGAATCAAGAATAACTTGTTTAGTAATGTTTTGTTGGTGTTGACGTTGGAGGATCCAAATATATTTTTTTAAATACCATTAAAAATAAATTAGTGCAAGGTTACGAGCTTGCAGCGATTTTACTTGTTCTATCACCGATCCATATTAGTAATATTTGGTATAAAAATAATCGCCTTAACATAAACCTATTAATAGAAATTTACTTTACACTTTACATGTATAAATCATAAATATGTTGTCACCTAATATGCATTATTTTAACTTTTGGGGAGTAATCTGCGGAACGACAAAAAAATAATTATTTTTATACATATACAACGACTTGATACATTTTTGGATTTATTAGAACAGCAGTCAGAACCTAAGAGTCCTATAAGTCAGAAGGCAACATAAGGATTGGCCTATCTGTATTTGATAAATTTATTTTCACAATTTTTGTTATACTAATGAAACCTAATTTGTACATAAATAAGTGTAGTTATGCCATTATAATGTGGTGCATATTACATAATCAAAATATATTTTTTCGAGTTATGCATTGAGTTGAATTTTGTTATTATTGATGCATTACAATTGAATAATTTTGTATCATGTTTGCCTTGTTTTTTTTTTATTTTAATAAAAATA